CTTCTGCTGACCGCCGCCGCAGTTGCCAGCATTCGTGCAGCACTTATTCAACACGGCGGAAATGGCTCCATTGACTTGATTACCAGAAATGGTAACAACGGTATTCGGAGCTCGATTGACGATGCAGATCTGGGCATTGCCTTGAGGGAATCGCAATGCCGACCTGGGCTGTAGAGTCACGCTACCGAAGTTTTCCCTGTGATCAAGTTAGAAAGATGTCTTGCAGAGTTGAATGCGAGAGAGATGCTATACGTACTGCACGTTGTTGACTGAGAAACTGCCGCCGCCGCCGCAGCTCTGAGCGCTAGCCAACGATGCGACGCCCAGCAGGAGAGAGATGGAGGTTTGATACAACATGTTGTAGTTGAATAGTGGTGGGATATGTTGGGTTATATTGGGTTGTGTTGAAAATGTTGAAAATGTTGGTAGATGCTCGATTGATGGGGAGTCCAAGAAGCAATTGAGTGAGGATATTGATCTGATTTATACTCAAGCCCAGGTTTGTGATATTCATGTATCGTCCATTGCTGTTCACCCATCGCGCCGTTGTATGCCAGAGAAACAGTAAACGGGAACAGTTTTTCCGCCTCGGGCGTCCAGGATTAGCTCGTGTCATACTCGAGTGGAGAAGAGTCGAGGCGTTCCAATACTACCAGACTTGACATAATTGACTACTTCTATTCTGCCGTCATGCATGCCCCAGCGAAAGTATCGACCTTGCGCCCGAGCTGAGTGAAGAGAGGCATTCAAAGCGTATTCAATTTGGGTGAGAGTTGGTACTCAGCCGCCCCTGGGCGATTCGGATAATAAAAGTCCATCAATCTCATCACGCTGGGTGGAGCTATAGCAGCGAATTTCGTCCCAGGTAAGACAGCGGCATGCAGGAAAACAGAGGCGGCTTATGCAAGTTGTCTCAGAGTGAGGGTTTGGTCTCAGCGAAGTGTTTAATATGGGCCTCTTTTTGGAGCTAAATTCTGACACGGCACTGTCTTCAGGGTTTTTGGTATTGACACGGCCGACTGCAATGCTTCACAACCCTGTTAAACCAGTCTTCTGAACAGAAAGGAAATCTCGGCACATCCATGTCGGCTTTACCTTGCCGTTCGAATGAAGAGTCAAACAGAACCCCACAGCTCCGCGTATTTGACCAATTTTGGTTGGACCATGGCCAATGCTTCTTGCGAATAGATTCGATGCAGCCACCGCATAGGCGGATTAAATGTCAATATTTTGATGCACCAGACGTTGTGCAATCAATTTTAGCCAGGCACGAGCTGCAAGGCCCCAGAAACGTTTGCGCGTGTCGGCTTTTTGTGCCCATCAGACTCTACCACTTTTGTCATGACACTTTGCTACGGGTGCCACGACGCCGCTCTTAGTAGTATCACAGAGCTCTGTCATAATTCACCTGCAGATTTTGCTGCATCGCTTTTGATCAGACCACCCTGTCGTTCTTTGCATCCGAGGTGTGACGTCATGTTTTTTTGTCATACGAAGTTACTTGACACGCATGCTTGGCTAGTTCCATCTCAATCGAGCAGACGTTGACCGTGCGGCTATAAAATGGACCTAGCTGTTCAAGTTGAGTCACGATAATTACACAAGATGAGGGTTGCAATTATGTAGGGCTCTGCTAACTACCTAGATCTGGAAATTTAAATCATAATTAAATAGAAACGTTTGTATTGCTTCGCGCTAAGCAGTTGTACGTTCAGCCCACCTCTGGTCACAATTGACTGTAGCCTGTTTCGAGGGTACTGCTAGTATGAGGACACCAAATCTAGCCTAGTCTGACGAGGTTGTTTGTTTAAACGATAACATTTCAAATATAGTGCTAGTTGTGTAAAGCTTGAGTATATACTTGCATTAATAACATGTTGCTTCAATTGATAATACAAAATCATACGAGATACAGCGCACCAGACATCCGCAAGATACAAGCTAGTCGCTCGGCCATGACTTCGAGGCCCAGCCTGCTGTTGGCAGAGTTCGGCATCGCTTTGCCGTCTTGTACCAAATTAAACTTTCGGGTTTTCGGTTCCAGATTCCGTGGCTACCGGAAAGCTCGCAGCTGAAGCCTAAACTGGTCCAAACTCCAAAGGGCTGTTTTGCTTTCGATTTTGTGAACAAGGCGCGGGGCACTGAAAAATTGGGAAACCATGACGCCTTGGCCATGTTGTTCACGCCAATCCGGTAATCTACGGCGACAGTAAAGTGGAACATCCACAAGCCAGACTCCGACACGTGTAAGAGATTCCCGATCTAATATTTAATAATGCGCATCAGACCCGAGTGGACAATTCCAGGTGAATTCTCACCAAGCGATTTAGGCTATAAAGGCTCCCCTTGCACCCAGGCTGTGCTACCTAAACCTTGTCCACCCAACCGGTTCAGCAATTACCTTGATCACCATGAAGGACTTTGCTACTATGATAACCCTTGTCGCCGGACTTGGACTGGCAATCGAATTTCCAAGATGTAGGAGGGTACGTACACCGCATGCAATTGCTAATAATGGTATTGACGCAGTGAGATTAGCCATCGAGCGAATGCATCATCGCATGCCCACATAATCAATGCCGCCCGGGCTATGTTTGCTGTGTAACAGATTGTGGAGGCCGTATCTGCGTAAGTTTATTGAAGTGGTATATTAGATGCGTACTAATGTGTGTTCACAAATTCTAGGAACCCGTAAGTGCTTCGTACATGAAGCTTGTCGAGTGACGTACTAATTATCTTTTCACGCGTATAGATTGAACCTATGCGAGACTCTTTTGACAGACTTGGAGATTGATGGAACGTGGGTGGGATTAGAGTACCTGGAACTGATGATAGATGTCATCTCATTCTTATCTGGAGCTTCTCTTTGTGAGTTCTAGCCTAGGGCCCCTAAATTAGGCATGTGTCTGAAAACAAAGAATGGGAATTTGTTCATGGCATAAATGAGGACGCGGCATGTGGCGTTTACATGTGTGTTGAAGTCTCTAGTAGGAAGCGCCACCACGATAGTCAGCGAATGTAAACACTATTTGTGCTAGCCGCCACCAAAACAAAAGCTAAGGATTGAAACGGGACTCTTTCTCTTCTAGGTATAGAGTGAAGATATTCGATGTCAAAACGGCAGTTAGTTAAAGGAGGGGAAGATGACTAAAGGTCTAGCTTCGCTGGATTAACAGAGGATTACTTGAATTACCTTTGCTACTATTCCCATGGGGGGGAATAGTACAAGATTTGCCAAAACCCACCTTTAAACTAGCAGATAAGATTTGTCAAGTAATAACTACACTTATAGGATAAGAGATATCATGTTAGGTTCCGATATTTTCGACCGCTTGCCCCGCAGCGCTGCCTTGTTAGACCGACAGATCGACGGACCGTCAATTTGCAGAAAACCCATACCCATTTTCCGACCAGACTTGACTCATTTCATGGATAGCATGCGCGATCAAGGAACTCTTGCCTGCCGGAAGAAACCCATCAAGGCGCATGAAAATTCCCACCCAATTGCTTTCGGCCAGTAGCCACAGACGTCTACTTCGGCCGGCTTCCAAGCAAAACCATCCCTCGCTTTCGACTGAATGTAGCTGACATATCCATAATATCCGGCCCTCTGCCTTATCTTGCTCCATTGCAACTATTATCTGCCCTATTACCGCCCCGTTTATCCCGCCCGGTGTTACACGGATGACACGTTGCCATAAAGGCACGGGCCGAACCTTGAACCCGATAATAGTTTCATAAGAGCTCTGATCGCGAGACCTAGGGCTAGGTTGCTCACCGCTTCTTGATATAAATAAAGGTTTTCTGCTCTCAGGGCTTTAAGGAAAACCAAGGACCTTTGATACCAAAGACTGTTATTAGATGAATTGAGTAAATTGCTCCAAGCCCTCTATTGAGCCCTTGTCACACCCGGAGCTCGACCATCTATTTTCACGAATCCAATGCTATATATATTACTTCTAGTACTTTAGTAACTGGTTCTATCTAACTACACGCTACTAAAGTATAATATTGCTACTATAAAAGTGTAAGATAATAAAATTATTAAGTTAAGTAAAAATACAAAGGTATAAAAACACCAGGTTTTTATTAGTTTTTACTGACCTAGCTATTAATCTAGCGCTTACTAGGCTGCTTACTAATTATTAAGGTTATTAAATAAAGCTTATAATTTTATTGGTTTATAATAATAATAGCGTATTAAGGTAACTATTTTTATAATTAAGTATTAAGTAGCCTAAACTACATGTCACGTATAAAATAACTAGTTAATATCAGCTAACGCCCGGTTTGGCGGTCAAGCCCGCACACACGCATGCCCACATAATCAATACCGCCCGGACTGCTACAGTACGTCGTTAGAGCCTGTATACAGGAGGTTCTTGGCTGGGTGGATCACTACGTCTTCTTGTTTTATCCAGGTCCTTTTAAGTATAATATTATCTTCTTGGCCTAGGATTATATAAAAGAAAGCCTAATATTTCTGATAAATATTAATATTAATATTTATATATAAAACATGCTAACTCGCATTATATAAAAACCCTGCCACGTGTTCTAGTGTTCAGGGTGTAATAGTGTAGTTTTTAGGCAAGAGCTTCTTAAATTGTGCTATAGCACAGGCATCCACAGCTAATAAGGGCAGTTATATAGTCTTCCTTATTAATTCCTATATTAAGATAGAAAGGTAGACTGTCTATTTAGTCCTTTTGCTTATTCTAGTCTTTTTTAGCTATTATCTTCTTCTAATAGCGCTTTTGACCAGAAGCTATTTGTTTTCTGAACCCTTATTAGATACTGTTTTGTATATACTTTCTCCTTTATTATTATTTGGCCTGATATTCTTAAGTATCTCTACTTTTGCCCTTGCGACTCTAGACTATAACTAACCTTATAATTAATTTGTATCTAGGATTTTTTCTTCGCAGAACTGCGCTATATAACCTGGTTAGCCACAGCGATAACAACTAAAACCTGTTTTGTTTTTTGTTTTGCCAGGATTATGCTTGCTTCCTGCCTTCCCGATTTTTGTAGTCCCAATCCATCGGGTCTGAGGGCGTTTCCTCTCCTGCAGGTGTCTGGAATGAGTTCTTAGTCTTTGAAACCTGGTTCTTGCTCTTAGCTTGACCACTTGACTGTTCTCTGCTACGATTATAGAATCGAAGTTCGTCGAGATTAGCTCCGAGGGATTGGAGCGCTTTGTGAGCAAGCTCAGTTGTCCTGCTAGATGCGAACGGAGTTCTCCGCTTATGACCCGTTTGAGGAAGTTGATCTTTACAGCATTATCCCAACTGGCTCCACCACTATCAGCTAACTCTTTCTCGAATTTTGGTAGGAAGATTGCGAAGTTCTCCTGTGGCCCCTGCCGTATTGTCTCGAGTCGGCTTAGGGCTCTTTGCTCGATATTGGGGTCAGCATAACATGTTGACATGTATTTGAGAAAGTCAACAGGGTTTGATAGCCCGTCTAAACCCCCTTTCTCGAGGTAAGCGGCAGCTATAGCCTGAGGCGTCTTATCTAGTTGGGAGTAAATGTAGACAAATTGGTCAAAAGAGCCCCCTAGAGCAGGCCCATCTACATGGAGCTTGCTTCGCATTTGCAAGAGCCAAGGACAAAATAATTTCCGAGTTCTATCAAGTCGTTGGGGATTCGGAAGGGTTGGCTTCTTCTTGGCTGGTAACTGACCTTGTTGTGGGCTGTGGATGTTGGCAGGCGAGGTGGTGTTGAGAACAAGCGGTACTAGTCCCAGTCTCTGGAGCACTGAGTTGACGATATCTTCTGAAGATGTGTGATTTGGGGTTGCGATTGCAGATTCTAGGGCTTGGACCTGCGCTCTTGTTTCTTCGCGGTCGTTATCTCTTTCGTTGCGTATATGCTGCTGGTCTCTGTGGATTGCGTTTAGCTGTTCTGACATTTGGTTCATCATTTGGACTGGCATTTGGGTGGTGCGGCTTGGCGAGCCGCCGTCCTGACTGTTGTTTTCCATTGCAAGTCGTGGTTCTATTGGTCGACTCGTTCGTTTATGTGTCCTTACCGTGGGGATCTTCCTCTTCGTAGCTTCTTTAGGATCGCGGGAAACTTGCCACTCCCTCGGTAGGGGCTTTTGCAACCTCGTTCCGAGATATGTTGCAGGAACACAATGCCACTCACTCGTTGAGGGCTTTCTGCTAACCTTGCTCTGCTAGGAATTTTGCAGGGACTCTGCTCGTTGCGAGAGTCTTCACGTGCCTCACTATCCAGGGGGTCTTTCACAAGACCAGGGATATAACCGTCCCTCTTAGGCTGCACTTCTCATCTAACACAGTAGACGAAGTCGCAAACACGTACTCTATGCGCTATTCCAATAGCCTTACAAGTAAGTCTCCACCAACTGGATTAACCAATTGATCAAACAAGATACTTCCTAACGCAGTCACGACACACGCGGAAGCGCGCAACACAATCGATTGCAAGGATTTAGAAAGGAGCTTTGGATAATATAACGGCCCAAGCGAGTATATTGACAACTGGCTAGGTGACTAGTACAAGTATCCAAAGCTGAAGAAGAAAGAGAAGAAACATTGAAGAGAAGAAAAGGAGAGCTTGAGGGGCTCTTGAGCTCCTGAGCTCGCCGCTGCTAATCTCGCTTGTTGTTGGGTCCCATTGACCATTTGCAGTTTGTCGATAAGAAGCGAGAGCGCAACCGAGCTATTCTCGGGTCTAGCCCGTTACAAGTTTTATTTTCCTTTACGCTTAGTATCAGCTATTTAATTAACTTAGTTAATATATTTCACCTGATTATATTAAAAGTATATGTAAAAATATCATAAATTAAACATATACATATTATTTTGTAATCAAGATATTATAAGCTATAGCGCCTATACCTTCAGCTCCCAATCCACAAACTTACTAGGGCAGTCGCTACCGCCAAAAGGGACCATAGGCTTACGACTAGCGCCGACATTAGCAGCGGCGCTCTTAAAGTCGTCTAGCTTGTTTGACCCCTCATTGATGACGCCAACCATGCCATTCTGGCAGTGTCTGCCGACGCTGCAGTAGAAGAAAACGGGGTCGGTGTTGTTCACGGTAATGCAAAACTGTCGGGACGAAGATTAGCGGGGGTGCGTGACACAAAAAGGAGGGAGAAATTCTGCTGCCGCAGTGGCCGAACGTACCGTGCCATTACGACGGTCGCCCGAGTAGAATCCTCCGCTTGCGGCTGGGTCAGCCGGGTGGCAAGGATTCTGGAAGTCGCCTGCGATGACATCGTGCCTGGCGTTGTTGAAATGGAACTCGACGATGTCCCCCGTGTTAGCCTTGATGCTGTCTGGGGAGAAAGTCAATTCGTGGTCCTTGCCGACCTCGACGGTAATGGTCTCGGCCGATGCCACAGTGGCGAGCAAGGCGAGGGTGCCGACGGGGATGGTGTAATACATAGTGTTTGCATGCGTTAGTAGTTCAGCAAGTGTGAGGCGTGTCATTAAACGGATTATAGGAAGGGGAATCTGCGGGTAATATATCGAAAACGCAACTAGAGCGACCCATCTCACCCCTGCGGCTACTCTATGTCTCTTTATTCCTTGGCTTTTGAAGACTCGTAGTGGTCGTATAGCTACATTATTATTATTTAGAGTTTGTAGAAATTTACTTTTAATGAAAAAAAACTTAAAAGAAGTCTAGATTCTAGTCTAACTAGCTTTCTCTTTAATAGTATTTACCTGCAGAGTAAAGTTATTTAATTACAATATTACAGTTAAAGCTTCATGCCACTTGTGTTACTATCCCCCCCTCCTTTAGAAAAGAGTAACTTTATTCGCCAAATACTAAGCGTGGTAACTTGGCCAGGCAAATTTTATCCACATATTAACGGTTATCCACACAAAGGTAAATAACTTAGTAGCTAGGAATAGCATGCTGAAAGGGTCGCTCGATTAACATCGATTAGATTTCTAAGCATAATCTTTATCAGCAAATACCGTGAAGTCTAAATTGCCTTCTACTTTCCTCGTTTTGAGTTTGCTCCCACATAATGGCAATAGCACTTATATACGATACGAATCTACGAGAAAGCCAAAAACAGGGCGATTCGATTGAAGGCGCGCGCATAATTGCCTACAAACCCACCCCATAGCGACTGTAGTAGAGTCTGGTTCGTTTGCCACTAGACGTCTTTCTGAGCTTGTAATGTTTACCACCAGTTACGGATATACTTGCACGGAAGACGCCAAAGTGATTTACATTTGTAGCAGGGCGCTCCACACCTCTCACTACTTCAACAGGTTTATGACAGCAAACTTTGGACAGCGTGCAATATGGGGTAATATTGAACTAGCTGAACCGCCAGGCTGGTATGGAAGGCACTTAGATCCGGACACACCACATCCATATGTCAAGTATAATGGTCGTCTCCCTCACCCAACACCGCCCAACTAATCAGTGAACAGTCTAAGGTTTATTGGGTCAAGTGGCGCCAATCTTTCGTGGCAAATTATAGTTACGTGTCACACCAAAATAGCCTTCGGCGGCTAGTTGCAACGCTCACATCTCCCGTACAAGCTTTGCGTTGAAGTGTTACAGCGAAGCTGGTCAAAATTTTCAGTTTAACTTTCTCTAGTAGTGGAACTCAATAGCCACACAAAGGCTATGCGTCGGGTCGTCCGGTGAGAGACACGATAGATTAAGCTACTTGACTATACTTGTGTAGTAAGATTGAGATCGCTCTTTATATTTAATGCCTCCCCATTACAGGCGATACGCTTCTCTACCCTTTTCAACTAGTTGAGGAGACAGCCTCACCAATCAGGTCTCGTTACCGGATCCGCCATGACTTTAATCGAGCGTCTCTGGGCGGTAGTGACGTCCTTCATCACCTGGCATTCAATTCCCGGTTGGAGTGAAACCCAAGCACCAATACTGCCTCTCAGCTATACAAATAAAGTTATAGATTATCCGATCTTTAAACCACCTGGTGTCCCAGATAATGAGAATTTCCAATGCGAGTATCCGCTCATGAAGGGATGGGAAGACTGTTCCCACGGACTAGACCGTGAGTGCTGGATTAGGAGCAAGTCAGATGGGAAGCAGTTTGACATCAACACCGACTACGAAAAGGCCACGCCGACAGGAATCGAGCGTTACTATAACATTGACTTGGCCGACAGCTTTTACGCGGCGGATGGGATAAATTTTACAGAAGCTAAGCTATTTAATAATAGCTACCCAGGGCCTTGGATTAGGGCCTGCTGGGGGGATCGGTGAGTGGTCGCTCGGGAGTAGGTAAGGACCGGAAACGGCGTTAACTGGTTGCAAAAGGTTGATCGTGAAAGTCACCAATAATTTAAACTATAATGGCACCTCGGTACACTGGCATGTACGTGCTAATAGGTTCTGAAACGTCGCTTAAACTTACGAGTGGCATTAGGGCATCCGTCAGCTAAACACCATGATTATGGACGGCGTAAATGGCATCACGCAATGTCCTATTCCTCCTAAAAGTCACTTCGTCTATAACTTCACCCTAAATCAGTACGGGAGCTCGTGGTACCATAGCCACTACTCTGTGCAATATGCTGATGGTGCCGCGGGCCCAATAACTATTTATGGTCCTTCTTCGGCGGACTGGGACGAAGCCGTAAACCCCCCCCTGATTATGACCGACTGGTACCACACCTCGGCTTTTAAGGTGGTGTCAAGTGACGAATCTAAGCCTCCAGATGACATCTTGCTCAACGGCCGCGGAGACATTACCAAGTTTTCCGATAGCAACAAGCAGACAACGCCTATTAAACCTGCATTAAACATTATCTTTCAAAGCCCCCACCCAGGACAAAAATACAAGAAGTATCTACTTCGTCTGATAAACACATCATTTAGCACTACCTTCGTTTTTAGCATTGATAACCATGCTCTTCAAGTTATTAGTGCTGATTTCGTCCCAATTCAGCCCTACCGTACCAAGTCTATCCTAGTGGGCATTGGCCAACGCTATAATATAGTTGTTGAAGCTAATCCTCAAGCTATTAACACGTCTAACCAACTCCCTAGTGACGGGAACTACTGGATCCGTACCCAGATCGCATGGTGTTTTAACAGCCAGGAAGGAAAGGATGGATATGATGAAGTTGCCATTCTGCGTTATAATCCATTAAGCACCAGTGATCCTACGACCAATAGATGGCCTGATATTTCTCTGAACTGTGCGGACGAACCGTACACGGATTTAAATCCAATCGTGCCGTGGACTGTGACTTCTCCTAGCAATGGGGTTCTGAATGCTGCGGCTTCGCCCTTCGGCGAGGAATTCGACGTGTTCCCCGGTATGCGGCAAAAAATGGACTATCCCATCGCGGGGTGGACAATGGATAGTAATAAGACTAGACACGCTCCTATACGCATCAATTACTCGGACCCAACCGTCCTCCACTTGAATCCAGAAGATAATTTGATGACACACTCTGAGCTCTGGCGCGTTCAGCCAGAGAATTACACCAATAGCCAATGGGTAAGTCGCATCGACCGCCTAGGCTGACTGAGTTAACCTTATAGATCTACCTGGTCCTGCATGGGGGGAAGAAGAAGTCCACAGGGGAAGAAGATACGCAAGGTGCTCATCCGGTAAGGCACCTCCCAGCACATGTGCGAATAAAGGCATTAACCGCATCGTAGATCCACTTACACGGCCATGACTTTGCAATTCTTGAGCAAGCCAAAAAAAAGTGGAAGCCAGATAACCTGAACCTCAAACTTGATAATCCTCCCCGCCGCGATGTCGTCTTACTGCCTGATGACGGCTATGTAGTTATCGCGTTTAAAGCTGATAACCCTGGGCTATGGCTTGTACACTGTCATATCGCCTTTCATATTGCTGGGGGTTTGGGCATGCAAATCTTGGAGAACCGGCCAGGCGCGTTTAATATTTGGCCAGATAATAATAGCGGGATTGTTGAGGCCCGGCGAGTTTGCAAGGAGTGGAAAACCTTCTACTCAAACCATACTAATTGGGCGAATAAACACGAGTCGGAGGGGGGCGAGTGCAAAGAACAGATTGAAAATATTGGCTGGTGCTTTCAGGACGATTCCGGTGTTTAAAGGAAATTGGTACTATTGACTATTCTTATTACTATGCCAATTTTCGCCTGCATTAGGTCCTGGCCATGAGAGCCTCCTCCTCTGTAGGTTGCCTATCTTTCCTCTTGTGCTTGGAAATGCAGATTTGTATCGGTGCCTGCTGTTACTTCTAAAAAGGCAACACGGCCTTGACGTTTAACCTCTATTGGTTCGTATTTAGCGGCATTACTACTATAATGCCCGACTCCTACGGGATCTGTCTGCCTTCCTAATAACACGTCCTATTTAAGAGATTGGTATTAGTCTAGTCTTATATGTACAATGCTGTCAAAATCGCCCTGCTTCCGAACATGTCCGTTTGCTGCCGCTCGGAGAGGCCTTCCCTCTGCCTCTCTACCGCTTACGCTCAATCCTTTGAAGTTCCCAGGAACCGAACTATTTTATTATAATATATTTTAGACACTTCGCAGCAATTTCTAGCCCATTCTTTCAACAACTTGGCCTACTCGGAGCACTGTGATTTGCCGTATACTCTTGACTATTTATGCTTATACTCCTTGGCACCTAGATAGCGGATACGAAGATATTTTGCTACGGAATACGCACCTCTTTGGTGACAGAGAACAATTATCTCACGGCAGGTGAGCTCATTTATTTTCATAGTATTAATTGATCTTAATCCACGTTCAAACAGACTGACAATTCAATGCACAGGTCGCAGAGCTATAGGCGTTGCTAGAAGCCGGCTGTCCACAAAAATACGTTGGAATTATGGCGACGGACACGACGGCTAAAGGCACATCTCTAGCATTGCAGGAACTTCTGCGTTTTGATAATGACCTGAGATTGTGGTTGGAGCACACACGGTACTTCGACGTAGAACATCGGAAGAAAGTATTAGACTCAGCCTGGTCGCGCAGGGCATTTGATGAGGAACGGCAAGGTTCTGGTCATCATCTATCGGGCGCCGTCATCACCTCACAATTCCAAGCTCGCAGCACAAGGTGACAGCAGAAAAGTGCCTCCAAGGAGGTCGATCAGTCTTCAGTGGGGCACGCCACCGTCCTTTCTTGCTCAGGGGGAGCGACTCTGCGTGGATTTCATTGACTTGACATTAAATAGTCGGCAGCGCGTAGCCTTGTTGCTGATACGCAGGCACCTCAATCGCATTCGTGAAGCGGAACGCGAAAGTGACGTGGATCAGCTGTGCCAGTTAATCGGTGGAGAGGGCAGGACGGGGAAATCCAGAATTATCAAGGCTATCATTGAGCTCTTTACGAGAAAAGGCATGCAGAGAAGAGTCCTTGTTACTGCGACATCAGGAACGGCGGCTACGCGGGTTGACGGCATTACCATACACACAGCGTGTAATTTTTCGGCGGAGCAGCGCTTAGCTTTGACCTTATTGAAGAGGTTGGACGGAGTGCAAGCACCTGGACATGGACTGAGATTCGTCTTGGAACTTTATTTCTTGAAGCAAAAAAAAAAAGACCTTTCAATGTTCGTTCCTTAAGGTATTAGACGGGGAAGAGCGCCGCATTAACTTTTCTTTGGGGTCAAGTACAAGACCTTGGGTCCACTTCGTTCCTCAAGGCGCATCGTTTCTATTTTAGGCAGCTGGGGGTCACTTCTGACCGATTCTGGACTTGACACTACCAATGTCGGGCGCTTAGATTTCTTGGCGCCTGTTGCTATTGTTGGTTTGTTGGAGACGATGCCCACAATTCCAAATGATGTCAAGTGCATCCCTGCGTTGCGAGACACCGTGTGTGGCGAGACAAATGAGGGTACTTTGACTTTCACAACGAATATTGTTATATTTCTGGTTGAACATCACTGTTAAAACTAATGCTAACTATCTTGAAGGTCCTTTCACTTTAGCCGCTCTAGGGAGCACGCCAGCCAAAACGGTCGGGTCATGTTGCTGCTAATCCGCCCATTTGGCTGCCTCCTCCCATCTTTCTTGTGCTTCAAGCAAAGGCTGCCAATATAGTTCGGTTTCTTCTTCTGTGTCTCCCGTGATTACATCTTGTTGCGGCTCTTGCAATGCAAGTTCAACACAATCTTCCACTTCAGGTGCGTCAGCCCCGCGAAGATCTCCATCCGACCAAATCGGCTTATAAGAGAGAGCGATGGAGACAGACGGTTTGGGCTCATTCTCCTTCAGCCGAAAGTATCTGGCATCTAGCAACTGATACATTGCTGCCCATACTTGTCTTCCTTGCCCTTGCGTACATTGAAGTTTAGACGCACCCCATTCAATCTCCGTCCCAGGGCCAACGGGAGGCCCTGACAACGCTGCCACAAGCTCTGGAGAAATGCCAGCTTGTAAAGAAACATCCCTTGTATCAATGGTTGTACTGGTTGCATCTTGTAGCTCGTATAGCCCAGTCAGGTACCAAATCTTCGGCCGGACGATCCTCTTTTTCACTCCAAATTTCGAGAGTATGAGCCATCTCTCAAGCGAGTCTTTTACGGACTGTGATGCAAGGACTTTTTCCAGGAGGAATCGGTGCGGACTGAAATGGAGTCAGCCATGAAATACAATTCAAAGATGGGCATGTTCTTCCTCACTCTCTCAATTTAATGCGTCGCCCCCTTTTTGCGTGGACCAAAGTTTGTTGTGACCTTCGGAACGAAGATCCCAATGTTACAATCTCAAGCACATTCAAGTCAACCGCGACGCCAACAGAAGGCTTTGACTCGTATGTAAATGGGCCAAGCTCAGTAATGTAAGCCCAATTTTCAAGGTCCGTTTCGCTGTGGCCGAAATATCAGCATAGTCCATGCTCACGACTGAGTGCGGGCAGTATCGAACCTCAGCTTTCCGATGGAGCTGTGCCACCGCGAGTCACTTGTTGGTTTCGAATAGCTTCCAAAACTGAGATGGCCTAAGCATAGTTCCTCAGTTGGATATCCAGTGCTATAGAGAAAATAGGGACGATCCTCTTTGTGAGTCATGCTGAGGTTGCGAAAATCATGGTTGGCACGGTATGAAATTGTTTGATGCGGATCTCAATTTGCCGCGTTGCGCGTTTGCAATTCTTGTATTGATATCTCTCCCAAACTACATGAAAAAATCTCCTCTTTTTATAGTAGAGAAATCTACGTCCAGGGACGGAGCTTTCCCCACCCAACATAAAGTTACCCAAGTCAACAGCTTTTTCTGACACGATTTGCTTCCGCTGAACCCAGGTGAATGTTACAGCCTTTCAGCTGTCCAAGTGCCAAGAACATTTCCCCGCTCGAAATTGAACAAATCAACCAACTATACGCGAGATCCTGATCAGCTGAGAATGAGGAGAGCCAGTCAGGTCCATTCACATGGCTATGTACATAGGCATGACCGAAAGTTGCCCCGCTTTTAACGGCGATACCTTCTTCTATTGACATATTCTAGCAATTACATATGTAACAGGGACGCTACGGAGTATTGACACCAGACCAAATTAATACAAGCCAGGCGCTACACTTTAGGGGCGCTACACCTTGGGGGCGCTACACCTTTTGACTGGTCTGGCGCAATTTGACTTGACATCAATTTCAATGTTCACCCCAGGTCAAGTGCCCTTTGTGTGGGGTCGACCACCAGCTGGCCGTGCCTATTTTAGGCTAATGGGGGCCTGCAAAAAGATGCATGTGTCACATAACATTTGAAGGTGTACCGCCTGTATCGATTTGGTGGAGCCTCCATATCAATTGCCTATATATACATGTATTTTTACTTGTTTTCGATGAAATTCACAACATTGAACTCCCTTGTAGTAGGCGAACGTCAAAACCAATGCCTAAATGAAACCATGGATTTCCTTGAAGTACTAGATGTTTTTGGAGGTACAATCTTCCCCGAGGAGCTCCGTGGCAATTTCGTCACGGTGGACGCCCACATCACGGAATTGGAGGAAGCGGCTAGTGCAGTCGATGTATCAGTACATCAAAAGGCTCAGGCCCTGCTTCTTCGCGGGATATACTACCTCCTCCTCGGGGATTTCTCAAATGCTCGACGACATATTCGAAGCATATTCGACCTTACCAGTGAAGGGCTTGAGAATAGGTGGCTGCTAAGGACGAAGATGTATGACTTCTATATCCTTGTGCTGCAGTATCGGCCACCAGCTATTCGATTCCGATCTTCAAACCCAGATACCTGGACAATGTTAAATGACGCTCGCTGTGACTTCGAGGAGAGAAGGCTCCAGGCTTGGCAGGTCTCCAGAGAGATATTGCAGCTTCAGCCCCCAAATTTTGCCGACTGTCTTGAACAAGGTACGATTCTGGATGCACTGTCTTTTAATACAGCTCTGCATATTTCAATGCTCGCCCATCCAAAGTACACACCGCTCGTCACGACGGAATCGCTCCTGCCAACAGGCCTTGGCGATATTAGACCAAAGGATTTCCAGCTCGTGCTTGCATCGGGAATACCAGCTGGTTTTTTTGCCAGCCAATGCAAAATTTCCCCACAGAACTCGCTCGAGAGATTCGCAATCGAGGTAGATTTGGCAAGAGTAACCGAAAATACACTTGAACGTCTACAAAAACTTTACTTCGTATATATTGAGTCGAACGATTTGATTGGAGCAGGACTTTGCAAGATCTTGGAAGGAGACCATATCATCTCTCCCCCATTCACTAACCCTATCGCTTTGAATCTGATAGTTCAGGTTAGAGAGAATGGCTGGGAGAATAAGGATTGGGATTCTAAGCAGCTTAATTTTCGACTGCGCAACAATCCTCGGGCTCAAGAGTGTTATTCCGAAGCACTCCATTATATGGAGGCGGCTGGCTCACCACGCGGCCAAGGCGCCGTCTTCCTAAGAAGGGGTTGCATCTACCACGCCGAGGCCCTTGACTTTATGTCAAAGAAAGAGTCCGCCCAAGCCAATGAAAATTTTCAGCTAGCTGAGAGCAACTTTGCGAAAGCTCTGGCTCTGTTCGTTAACGACACCACTAATAGTGAGCTTGTTCACTGTCATCAAATTCTGCTTGCCACCACCAGCAAGACTCCGACCAATGTGGTGGACATGGCACAGAAAATGGGAAGGAGGATGCGCGCGACAGATAACTTTGCTTTGTCCCAATTTCTCGGTCTTCTACTTCTTCGATTCGGTCATTTTCAGTTCACCTACCACCGAAATCTTGAAGCCGCCACCGCCTGTTGTGAATACGCAAGTGTCTACTTTGGCGAGCTAGACGAACCTATTGCATCACTCTCCACTGCCATTGCACACATTATGATGTTAAAGGAATCTCAAAACACTTGGAAGGCACAAGCAAAGGTCAGACAGATCATCCGACCCCACGGGATTCTGGATACTGCAATGGCATTCCTGGACAGCGTCATCTCTCAGGCTCCAAAGCTAGAGCACTTCAATATTACGATAGGAGGCATTCTCCAAAATTGTGAAACGATATTAACGGCAGTTTGTACTACCAGTGGAAATGACGAACTGAGGAATCAGGTGGAAAAAGTACTTCATCCCCTTCGAGGAGACTTTCGAGCTGTCTTGGTCTCTCAGAAAGAAAAGATTTTCAAAGCCGAAGCAAAGGACGCGATGAGCGATCATGAAATTGGCTTTACGGATGCTGAAATGCATCGTGCCATCCGTATTAAAGAGATCAGGACTTCGTTTAATGCATACTACGACCAGTGCGTCAGCCGTTGCTCTGAGGCTATTGGCCAGAGAAACATGGAGCGTGCGGAAGCTGAGCTCCAGACATTCATAACACACTGTGGTTCTGTGCAACAGTTGAACGATAGAGAGATCCTCTGTCGGAAAATACCAGCACTGGCGCAACTCGGACGCATCAACGATATGCACAGGGAGCTTCCTATATTTGTATCCAACTTTTTCAAAGGCGAGGGTGACGAGAACCTCCGCACCAAGTTGAAGCATATGGGGATGCCAGGCGATGCACTAGAATTTGCAATAATAGTTCGCGGTAATCTGGCAGAGGAGGATATCTCCATGTGCTTCGTTGCACAGGCCTGGGAGACGGGCGCAGAGATACTAAAGAATATTCGAAAGACACTGCCAGAATTTTTGGAAAAGAAGGACTTAGCATTGAGGCCACACGGGTGGCGATTAATGACCTATATTGCTGCTTTCTATGAACATGAAGGCAAACTTGAGGAAGCACTCGACTGGTACCTGGAGGCACTCTCCGTATTCGAGAACTTACGCGAGAAGATCTCAGACCCCGATGCTCGGCGTGCAGCATATGGTACAGTTCACACCGGAGAGTTGTATTGTGGTCTCACTCGAACGTCACTTGCGTTGTCTTCGATGCTAGGCGAGTCGGATCGCCGAGACCCCGAACATTGGGGCCTCCCTGCGTCGTCCTGGAAGGACCAAGCACTTATCTTTATGGAACAGGGCAAGGCTAGATCACTTCTTGACATATTACTTGTAAAGGAGGCTGCAGAAACAGAGCAGCTTCAAGATTGGATGAAGGAGGCATACTCAAATCGTCTCCTTTCCACGCTATTTCAGCCGCGACAACCCCACGAGAAGAGGATGACGCAAGCTGAAGTGGCCAAAGAGCTCAATATCCGTGAAGATATGTTTGACCCTGTTGAGGAGTCTTTGAAGGATAGACAAGGAGTGACATTGTCTCTTTTCCGTGGCACCTTGTTCCTGCCAGATACGAGGACACTGTACAAGTCGATTCCTCCAGAATCCCTTGTCTTAGAAATGGCCATATGCATGAGCGACCTCCTAGTCCTGTGTATCTCATCCTCTGGAGTTCATTCCATCCATAAGTCCAACGTGGAGTGTATGGACTGCGCAAACTCGTTCTGAGATATATGAAAACAGTCAGTCTCCCGGACGAGCACACCAGGATGGAGGCGAAAGCTGAGTTGGCCGAATTAATCACGGAAATCTCGACATATCTGATTGAACCATTTGCAGCACTTATCCGGAAGTTCAAGAGTGTGATATTCGTGCCTACGAGCTATCTTAATATATTCCCGCTAGCGGCCTTGACTTTGGACGGCAAACCTTTGATTTTGGAGAAATCAGTCTATCAAGTTCCCAGCCTATCGGTTCTTCGACAACTTCACAAAAAGATTGACCGGTTTCAGGGACCCGCTTCCATCTCTGTGCTTGCTAACTCAGGTGGGCAAGGAAAGGGGAATCTTCCATTTGTCGGCCCCGAAGTAGCTTCTATTTGCAAATCTATGGCCACCAAGCCAGTCAACTATACTACCCTCACTCAAGACAAACTATTTTCCATCCTTGAGACCTCCGACATTGCTCACATCTCCTGTCATGGAGATGAAGTCTTTTCCTCTCCTTGGGAAAACGTCCTACATATCAAAGAGCCCTTGAAGGTTGTCGAGCTCGCGAAAGCAAACAGTAAAGCTGCCATTATCGTATTCTGTGCCTGTTTAAGTGGCAGAGGTCAAATCAACTCAGGAGACGACATTCTTGGATTCGCACATGTCGTGCTTCAGTCCGGTGGCCTGGCTTTCATTGGCGGATTGTGGGAGGTGGATGACAAGGCAGCCATGTTGTTAATGCATCTTTTTTACCAGGAAATTGCAGCGCGACGTATCGCGGCGGCGGCGGAGACCAGTGGTGTATCCCTTGCAGGCTGTTGGCAAGAAGCAGTCCGCAAATTCTATTTCCTCGATAATCAGAGCGCGAGGGAGATTGTCGAGCAACTAATAACAGTATGGGCGAAGGCGCGGGAAGAGGGCATCAGGCCCGAAGGAGAATTCACGTATTCAAGATTTCATCTGGAGAAACTAAAGGAGTCTGTTAGTAAGGGAACTTGGGATTTTACGGATCCATTTTATTGGGCACCTTTTTGTTTTCATGGGTATGGGAGTATAGTGCTGTCCAACTTTTAGTTGTGGTTGGATACATCGTCGGGGGAGGGTTAGCCTACAGGCCTACCAGGCCTTCTAATGAGACGATTGCTCTCGTTTTGAAAATTTCCAAACAGTTTAACTATAGTCAATGTATGCATAAGTTGAATGTATTTGATAATACCTCTTTTTTTAAGGCCTATTGGCTATTGCTAACAGAGTACAGTTTCTACTGCTGGACTGGCCATAATTACGCCGAGTGGAGTTGGGGCTTTTAAACACAAAACGCCTCTGCAAAGCTCCAGTATCAGCGTGCTTTATTATAGTAAAATTTGGCTTGATATCAAGGACCTCTCTGATGTGAAATGAGCGGTCACTGATCTAGTTGGTCTTTTCTTCATCCTGCCTGGTGGTGCTACATAATATGCTCGCTATCATGATACCATCTAAGCGGAATCCTAATTCCAGGCCTTATCAAGGGGACATTTATACTACAAGGACGTCAGGCAGCGGTGTCACTACCCAGTTAGGTGGTGCCCTTACAAGCCGGTCATGATAACTTGTCCGTCCTATACTCACATGAGAATAAAAGTGTGACTAACATTTGCAAAGGGCTACTGGGAGTTTATTTGCTGGCGAGGCGGAAATTACTTTGCGACATATCAGGCGGGTGGAGTTCCAGGCAGTGTTTGCGCAATGGGAGGCACTACCACTTTTGAGAATTGAGTCTCCTTCAGACGAGCAGATGGGTTTGAGTCACGGTGCATGGCACCAACTTATACATGGATGGAACATGGCAGGTGTTGCCTATAGTTTACTCTTCTTCTACTTGTCGCTGTTTACACACCTAGGTACCTAGCTCTTTGTAATACCCTTGTCCATTTACATGCGGGCCTACTGAACCAATCCTCCGTCCAAATCGTCTAAATGTTGATGATGGTCGGAGTTTCCCCATTATTGAACATGCCTTGGGGAACAAAGTGAACTCCAGGTCTTCTACTAACGACTAATACAAGGGCGCGCAACTGATTAATCACCCCTGACATGGATGCCATAACCTCCATAGTTGGAGGCATATTTGCGGTGGACCTGTTAATACTTTTATTGTAACAGAACGTCTGGTGTCAAGAGACCCTGTCCTAGTGAAAAATCACCAGACTTTATCCAAGTCGCAGCCGATCTTGTCCGTGCCATTGTGCTGCCACATTTGACGTTTCAGGTCGAGCATGTCATCTTTGCCATTCTTGTCATCTCTCGCCCAGACCAGTACGTACATGCCATGTAGCCACCACTTGAGTTTGTTTATTTTTACCTTTTCACAACACCAATTTATGAATGCGACGAACAATGACCGCCTGTATTCTCATTCGCTGTCCGTCCAGGTAACCAAAGCGACATGAACAAAATTAGCCAAGTCCCTCTTTCCCATTTCCGTCAGACTAGTCCTGTCATGCTCGCTGTTCAATCTGAGCCCAGGGTCAATTGTGACAGGGTCAATCGCCTCACTTTGGCCGGTTCCCACAAGGTCATCATGCCAGTGACCATGTTGACCCCCCGCCTTGACGCTCAGCAAGACGCGCAATGGCCTGGAGTTTGGCGACCTAAGCAGTATGGCCGTGCGGAATAACCTGGGGATGTCCTGCTTTGTCCCTGGGTCCTCGTCCAGCCACCAGATGGCTGCATTGTCCTCGCCGTAACCCTCCTTGTGCTGATTGCTCACTGTTCCCGAGAGACTGGTGTAGTGATCGTGAGCTCCATCCTTCTTCCACTCCCATGTGTATCCAAACTTGCCACCTACCATCTTCTCTCAGCCCCTATTGACTTCGACGTCTTGGTCATGGACAAAGTGCTAGTCCCTTTCCTGAGGGCCAAGTCTCCGTGCGGGAACATCTTGCTCGCGACTGGGTCCGGCCTATGGTCGCTGCGAGTCCTGGCATGCTATTTATCGGCGTATTCGAACTCAAAAATGATCTCAGCGTTTGTAAACCGTCGCCGGATTCTTGGGATCTGGAATTGAAACTCGAGAGTTGACAGCGTCGCCATGTTGCCGCGAGCCGTGTAATGTCCGGAAACAACTTTCACAATTCGGGCCCCTGGGTGTAAGATGATGTGTGATGTTCATATCGGAATGGCACTTGACCGGATTGAAACAGAAGTTGTGAACCGCCATGTTATCCGCTATTGGAAGTGAGCCCTGCCTTGTCTCTCGTCAATATTGCTAGCCCCCAGTCCCCAAACTTGGCCATGAGATCAACTGCTGTCAAATAGCCACAAGAATATTATCGTTAAACAAGCCGTAGGTTAGGGTGGTCGAGGTGCCCATGAAGAACTGCCCGCTGGCCAAGATGGCTGTCTCCTTTTATCCGCTACAGCTATTTTCGTCATGTTCGCATATATCGGAAGTGGCGTGTGAATTATAGGCCAGCGAACACGAGGCAGTTGAATGAGAGCAGGGACAGCCCAACGAGAACACAAGACACCTAGATTTTACATTGTGGCGCAGTTTTCTTTTTAAGAAAAACACAGTTATGAGGCAGACTGAGTGTGGAAGAGTCGCTTGATTGAGGCTATCTAGATAGGTGAAATAGGTGCTTTTCATAGATAATCTTGATAGATGACTAGGTCATCAAATATAGCTTGTGACGATAGACTTTTTCAGTCTTCCATTGATGTTGAACAGGCTCAGTAGGGCCGTGGCGAGACCTTTTGTGAGGCGTCATTGGAGTCGCTGGCTCGTGACACTCTTTCAATAGGCAATCAAGCCAACTGGTTGAGCCCGTTAAACCCCCCTAGCATGCAGCGCAGAAAGAAATGTGGCAGAAAAAGCAGAAACATGATCCGGTCCAATCATGGTATAATGCGAACCATCAACTTCGTGCAATCGAGGCTTCGATCTGCAAAAGTCCTGCCACTTGCTCAAATGCTCCTTCACCCATATCGTTCGGTCTGGGGCCACGGATTTCAATGGGGTAGCATAGAAGATATCTAGCACATCAACTTGACCATCAGGCTCGTAATTGACAGCAATGTTTGGCAAGCTATGTGCGACGTTGGTCCAGCGAGTTAATCCAGGCTTGTCCAGGCCAAGTTCCTTGATACGATCCGCGTCGGCGAGGCGAAATACATATGCCAGGGCGTCGTCCTGGCTCATGTCCTCGATTTGCTCAGCCTGCTCCTCGGTTATTAAACTGAGAAAGTATGCCAAATGCAGCAGGCAATTTTGCCAGTTGAGCTGTCTCATGCGCGTTTTGATGTGCGGCGGCAGGTTCAAACAGCCAAGGAATTGTACTGTGCCATGTCCGTCGGTTGCTTCGAGTTTCTTGGCCATTTCAAAGGCAATCATGGTCCCGTAGCTATATCCCGCCATCACATAGGGTCCTTGAGGCTGTCGCTGTCGAAGGGCCGCCAGGTACGCATCAACCACCTCATCAATGGATACGAACTGTTCTTGGCCGGGGTCAAGGCCTCTGGCGCGCAGTGCGTATACCGGTCGATCGTCACTGGCGATATGCTGAGCTAGCCCGACGAAAACGAGGACTTCACCAATCCCGGGATGGACAAGCCATAGCGGTGTTTTTTTGCCGGCCGCGTTGAAAGCGACGACGGGATCATAACTGGAATTCAGCGGTGTGTCCAACGACCTGCCCTTCTCGCTCTCGGGGCAGAGGGCCTTGGCTAGTGCAGATGGTGTAGGATGCCTCAGAATTGAAGTCACAGAGACACTAGCTCCTAGTGCCTCTTCAATGCGTATCTTGAGTTGAATCACGTCAATGGAAGTGAATCCAAGTTCGAAAATGGATGTGTTCACGCCGATTGCGCCCCTGTCGATGGACTTGAGCTCCAAGAGACAGCGGATGAGAAGTTTTTCGGCATCGTTGGCTTCTGTATCGTCCATTTTCTGTCTTTGTTTTCTAAACTGCTCCACTCGACTGAAGTGCAGATCAACATCCTTGGAGAAAGCACCTGCTTCGTATAGTGTTCTCATCTTGGTCCGCGAGATTTTGCCGAGCGAGGATACTGGCAAAAGCGGAATGGACTCCTGCCGAAGAGAGAAAACGGTTGGGCTGGCTCCAACGCGTAACAGACATGTTTGTACGGCCAGATGTTGGATCTCGACGACGTCCTTGGCAGGCATGTCCCAGTTCCGAGGAATGTATGCGACTGTCACCTGCTCAGTGTGGGCTGCGCGGGACGGAAATGCGACAAGACGTGCAGCTTGATGGCAAAGAGCTTGATCAAGCGCCGTCTGAAGTGGCGCCATGGCAAATTTGGCGCCATTGATATTGACAAGATCCTTGACGCGACCTTTGAGGCTGAGATGGCCCTGCGCGTCGATGCTGGCCTGGTCACCCGTACGAAACCAGCCGTCCTGGGTGAAGCATTCTGCAGTGGCGCGCGCATCACGATAATAGCCACTGAAAAGCACGCTGCCACGGACCTCGAGATCGCCAGGCTCGTCGGGTGCCGCAAGTTGTGATCGGTCTAGTCCAGGATTTGTAATACGCATCTCAATGCCATCCATACAGGTGCCCAGGGAAACCACGGCTCGGCCTCTTTTGACATCATACTCGGGACAATCGAGGTTGAAGATGGCCCCGGCACACGTCTCAGTCATGCCAAAACCAGCCGTGATTACATTGGCCGGGGCATTGTACCTTTGGAGAATCGAGGATAGATTGACACACGTGCTCGTGTCGGTGTCCTCGCCTCCGGACGCGAGCATGGTGAGATTTGTGAGATCCCAATTCCTGTCTTGTTGCTCGTCTTGTAGAGCCGAGAGCAGCTTGGCTAACAAGAAATTCGGCGCAAAGGTTTTGGCCACTTTGTAGCGGTCAAGAAGTGAAAGGAGTGTTGTTGGTGCTGAAACCACGTCGCTTGCATGCACATGGACTTGGTCAACGCCGAGCCACAAAGCCTGGATATGGATTTCAACCAGACTTGCAACATGATCAAGACCTATCCAATTCAAAAATGGCCGAGGGCTTTCCAATGGCCGCACTGCGGCTTTTCCGGCCACGGCTGCAAGGATCTGACGGTGAGATAACATGACAGCCTTGGGACTTGCGCTGCTACCGGACGTCAACATCAAAATAGCCGTTGTAGTACCCCCCTGGTACTGCCCATGGCTGTTTGGTTCTGCAGAGGATATCGCCCTTGACGCCGTCTTCTGCGGTGTCTCGACTCTATGCAGGTACATCCCGTGGCCGGAATCCCACATGTCGGTCAAGTCACTTGTCGTGATGCATATCGGGTATTCCAACAGTACTGCCAGGTCCAGCATGGAACTGTTGTTGCGGATTGATGGGCCCAGTATCACGGGTATGCCGTTGGCAAAGAGGACAGACCAGAACCAGGTGATGATGTCTGCATGATTATCCAAGTGCAGCATGATTGGGTGACGCTCCTTGAACCTTTGGATTCTCCGAATCTGGCCACTATTACGCCGTGCTTGGAAGTAGAGGTCTTTATAAGAGATGCAAATCGGATCGGAAACGTCCCCCAAGGGGAAGCTGAGGACGGATCCTGACTCGGCTCTGTCCCGGAGGACATCCTGAAGACAATTCCAAGTATCCATTTGAAAAGAAGGATCTCGGCTGGTAGTTGAACTTGGTGAAAAGGCGCTGCACTTTATTTGGGGATATGGTTCCTGTTACAAGGGCTCGGTTGAGGACTTATGAACAGCTTTCATGACTAGCAATACTCAATCTTTGGATCTTCAAGGTCCTTGGTTCCTTGTCTTCCTAGGAGGGCAGGACCTCCTGTATATATACATAGGGTCTCTTGTGTGTGTAACCTGACCTAGATGACTGAGCTGATGACTGAGGCATCTAGGTCGTTGAGCCTTGGGTCCTGTTGCCTGGCTCACCGACCCCTTCTGTGTACCGTGGCTTCGCCGCGGATCCCGGATATTGGAAGAGGGCTGGGGCTTACGAGGCTCTTCCGTGTAACAGTTCCTGTCGAGTGCGAGGAGATATTGAGAGCCTAGACTCTTCCCTCAAATACCAGACGGCGTCATGATGCCACTTTGCTGCCTGGGCGGCACCGGAACGGGTCCCGTTCAAATGTCCAAAATTGATTGCCTTTGGACGCAGATTACGCAGATCCTTCCTTGCTAGATACACCAGTTGACGCCTTGCGCCGACGTTTGCATCACCCCCCCTCAGATGCCCTTGGCCAGCCGAGAAATGGATGCAACCTGCATTCGGCATCATGGGCACATGTGTATCCTCAGAGCCACGGGTCAAGTTGCAATTGATAGCCTGCACAGCTGCCGACGTGCCAGACCGCTTGACCAGACATGTTGTGCTACCTGCGGCCCCCAATGCGAATCTCGGCCCAACGGCCAGGCCTTGAAAGATGGCAAGTCTAAATATAGAGTACTTGACACGAATGGAGCAGCATAATTATCCTTCAATGCTGCCTTATCCTTGCCCATCGATCGGCTTGGGCGGATTCTTGTATCTCACCCCGGCCTGTTTGACCGCTCGTTTTCCCTCACATCCCATTTTACCTTGCAACACCAACGGCATCGAGTGACAGTTTGATGGCCTTTTCCCCTCGAATAACGTGGTTTACCTTTTATTCCGTATAAATTGCTGTCATTACAGGGTCTTGAATCTACGAATCAAGTCTCGTCGGCTTCTTCCCTGAAAACCACCATGTCGTCCGACAACACATCAGTCTCCCGTCTGACTCAGCTTGCGGCATCAATCCTCGATTCTGTTTCAAGGCTCGAGGCTACGCTGTCGATGCAGGCGTGTCCATTGCCTTCTTTTGACCAAGACGCGCCAACACTGTTGC